CATGTTAAGGAAACACTGAGCCGAGTTTACTGTTAGCCAGGCACTGGAGCCTCTGGAAGTGATGGTCTTTCCTGCCAAACACCATACCCTTTGTGGATCTTTCTCAAATGCTGAAATATTTAATTTTTACAGAAGAATGGATTATCTGTAATATATACGATCATACGTATATACCCTAGTGTCCACTTATTCAAGTAATATTGGTTTCTAGGAAGGGCATGGCTATCCCAGAACTTACATGGGGAATATAGATAAGAATCCACAAGCTATTAGGGCTCTGGGTGACAAGAGCTATGACACTAGAAGCTCAGGCTGGGATGGGGGCATAGGAGGGACCCTTCTTTCATGCTTGAAAGTTGGTTCCTCAGCCTAAAAGCCCTGAGGAATGAGCCAGAATTAGCTGCTCAAACAAGACCAGGAAATGAGGGCAAAAAGTGTCAATGATGAGGCCCAGGTTTCTTGGATACCTGGGTGGGCAGTGGAGCTACCCACCGAGATGGGGACACAGGGAGAAGAAGAGTGGGGGCATAATTTGAGTTTAGATTTAAATCCATGTTGAAGTGGACATGCGGGTGTAGAGTCCACAAGAGGTTGGACATATGGAGCTGGAGTGAAAGGAAGAGGAGCTGTGGAGACACGGGGAAAAGGCACCAGAGAGGTGGAATAATGCTGGGGGACAATGGGAATTTAGAGCCATTGTACGGCTCTTTTGCTTGTGAGTAACAGAATCTCAACTGATAAAAGCTTAAGTAAAAAGGTACGTTTTCTCATGAAACTCATCAGCCCAGGATGAGTTTCTTCCCCGTTCTTCCCGCTTAATGACCCCAAGGGGAAAAAAAGAATATTTTCCCCAACAATTTATGCAAAAGTCTTAGGTTTGAGTCTCGTTGGTTAGCCCTTGGCCATATACCCATCCCAATTCCTCAAACCAGGGGAATGAAATACCCATGCCTGCAGTGGGGTGGTCAGCCCCCAAACCATGTGGACTAAGAGGGGGGGAAAGGTGGCTCCTCAGGGTGCTGCTACAAAAAAGGAAAAGTATTTGCTACACAGATGAGACATCAGGCAGCCCCCCACAAAAGCCAGGGAAAGTGGGGGCATGGTTAGCAGGGTTGGATGCTTCTGGGAAAAGGGTTGGAATGGATCCAGTGGATTAGCCATCAGGAGCCAGGGTGACCTTGGCAAGAGCCATGCCAGTAAGTGGTGGTGATGGAAGCCAGGTGGCGGTGGGTTGAGGAATGAGTGGGAGGCGGAGTGTCAGATATAGAAAACTCTCAGCAACTGGGTCCTGGAGGGGAGGAACCATGCCCTGGTCCCAGGCATTCCAGTGAAAGCCTGTTAAAAGTTGATGGAAGAGAAGCAGCTGGTAGATATTTCAGAAACCTAAGAGGCAGGACTCGGAGCAGGGGAGTGGGGGCGCCAGGACAGGGTGAGTGTGGTGTGGGTGGCAGTAATCATGTCTGGGAGACACTGCAGGTTGGCCTCTTATCCACTTGTTACATTATCTACCTGACAAATGGCAGCCATGCCACAGGATTAGGAGAAATATAAGGGGAAATGTGTTTTGTTTTATTTTGTTTTTAATTATAAAATTCTCTAACTCACATAGAAGCTTACTTCTCGAAGACATTCAGTGTATTTTTCAAAACTTTGGAAAATTATGAACTAGAAAGCCACGGTTCCTGGATCTGGCTGCAGGTCAGAATCACTGGGAGACCAAAGACAGATTGTAGGGCCTGAATCCAGACCCCCTGAATTGGAATCTCTGTGGGAGAGGGTCAAAAATCTATTTTTGTTTGGTTTGCTCTTGGTTTTTATAAACCGCCTCTCAGAGTAATTCTTAGGTGGCTTCCTGCAGGAAATTTTTGGATACCACTGAAAGACAAAGTTCAGCTAATGGAATCTTGATAGTTGAACCATTTAAGCTTGAGAAGCAGGTCGGCCTCAACCCAGAAGAGAGGCTCACTTTGGTGTCCCTTCCATGGCATGTGGTCCAAGCTCCATCTGTTCACATTTTTTTAATGTTTTATTTATTTCTGAGGGAGAGAGAGAGAGACAGCGTGAGCAGGGGAGGGTCAGAGAGAGAGGGAGACACAGAATCTGAAACAAGCTCCAGGCTCTGAGCTGGCAGTCAGCACAGAGCCCGACACAGGGCTCGAACCCATGAACTGTGAGATCATGACCTGAGCCAAAGTCGGATGCTTAACCAACTGAGCCACCCATGCACCCCATCTGTTCACATTTTTAACAAATGACCTCGGTGAAGACATGGAAGTCACGCTTACAAAACTGGGAATTATGCAAAAAATGCAATTAATAAACAGCCTTTTTCACTTAATAGGATATGATAAACTTTTTCTTGTATCATCAATTACTCTTCAGAAATAGCTTTCATGGCCTCACCCTAGTCTATCACACAGCTTGGAACATTGTTTCTAATTTCACGCTGTTATCTATAATATTGCAGTGAACATTCCCGGCTTATAAATCTTTGTATATCTAGATTATTTTTTTTCCTTAGAAAAAAGCCTGTTCTGCTGAGTATGAATTACTATGTCAAAAGGTATAAATATTTTTCAGGTTTATATATATTCCTGATTTTATACATATACATACTCACACACACATAAATAATACATATTTTACACTAAAACCTTGGTTTGAGAGTGTAATTCATTCCAGAAACATGCTTGTAATCCAGAGCACTTGTATATCAAAGCGAATTTCAAGAACTGTTGGCTCAGTTGTGATCATATGATGTTCAGCGTCATGTACTACTCATGTTGAAAGACATCGCTCATTTATCAAGTTAAAATTTATTAGAAATGTTTGCTTGTCTTGCAGAACACTCGTAGAACAAGTTACTTGCAATCGAGATTTTACTGTGTATGAAATAAAACATTATATATTTTATTCTGAATATATCTATGTGCATATATTCCTTTTTCAGAAGTTATTCCAAATTAGATTCCCGCCAGAGTCTAATATGAGAATTATTATTTCACCAAACTGTCACTAAAACTATGTATTATTATTAAAAACAAATGTGATGGGAAAAAATTTATTTTAATATGCTTTTTTTTTTACTGTGAAGTTGAACTTAAAAATGTGTAATTATCATCTCTATTTCTTTGTGAGTTTTCTGTGAACTTTGTCCAATTTTCATTTGGAGTGCTAGATTTTATCTTGTAGATGTTTAAATGTTTTGCTCAATGATGGTTCTCAGTTTTTTGTCACAATTATTATATTTTTCCAGTTTGAGGTTTGCCTTTTTAATTTTTATAATTTTTGACAGGGAGATGTATTTAATATTTGTGGTCAACGCAAACATTTCTTTCCTCTTTGATGTCTTTTATGTCTCTAGAAAATCCTTAGGGGCGCGTGGGTGGCTTAGTCGGTTAAGCTTCCGACTTTCACTTAGGTCATGATCTCGCGGTTCGTGGGTTCGAGCCCCGTATCGGGCTCTGTGCTGACTGCCAGCTCAGAGCCTGGAGCCTGTTTCAGTCTGTGACTCCCTCTCTCTCTCTGACCCTCCCCTGCTCATGCTGTCTCTCTCTCTCTCTCTCCTAGAAATAAATAAATAAATAATAAAAAGAAAATCCTTAAATATTCCAGAGTCCTTAAATTAAAAAAAAAAACTTTCAAATAGTTAACTCTTTAATCCATTTGGAAATAAAATCAGTTATATTGGGATCTTTTGGAACCTTCTTTTCCTTTTGTGTTGTTCTGTTGATAGATTCTTATGCCCAGATCATATTGTCTTAAGGATTGTCATTTTAAAATGTTTTTTAATTAAATGGTAACACAGACCCTTCTGATCTCATTTCTCTTTGTTTTTCAAATACTGTCAATCATCATTTCCTGTTATTCTTTCAGAAGAACTTTAAAATTACTTTATTAGATTCTTCCCAGAAAATCCCGCTGGGATCCATTTGTATTGGAACTGCATTATATCTTGGTGTTTGCTCTTCCCAAGCAGGAACTCAGCATGGCTTTTACTCAGACCTTTTATATATCTCAGAAAGGTGTTTGATTTACTCATTTAGGTTCTGTATACTCTTATTAATGCCGTTCTTAGGCATTTTATATTCCTTTACTCTTATGAATCAGATTTTTTCCTTTATATTTTCTAGATGGTATTGCAAGAATGCAAGAAAGGTACTGATTTTTATGCATTTTTGTTATGTACATGTTCATTTGATTCAAGTTATTCTGACAGATTTTCAGTAGATTCTCTTGGGTTTTCTAGATAGACAGCTGTATCAACTACATTCATGATTACTTCTTTTCCTCTTCTGTTTGATCTTTTATTGTACTAGGAAGCAAAACTGATATGAAACTTCTAACTTTGATGATAATGCTTTTGTTATTTTACCCTAAGATATGTTAGCTCTTGGTTTAATATTTTATAAATTAATCACATTAATAAATTATCTTTCTATTACTAATCTTAAAAGAATTTCATTTGGAAAAAACTAGAACAGATGTTGAGCTTCATTAAATGCCTTTTTACTTTTTCCTTTAGCCTGTGTTCTATGGAAGGCAATTCTGGGAGATTGTTTATAGGTGTTCCAAAAGGGTTCTATAGTTAAGTAACTTTGGGAAGTGCTGTGTTCTGTAGCCTCCTCATGAAGCTTTCCAGCGCTCCCAGATCAACCTAAATAAAGTCTTGTGTCACATTCATAAATTACAAGACCTAACATAGAGGACACTTAATAGATCTTCATGCATGATCAAATGAATGCTTCACGCATGAGCAAATGAATGACTGGAAAAATTAACAGGACTATAAAAAATTGAGAAGCATGATGCCTTTGATTCCAGGGAACTCCCTCTCCCTGTCATCTCCTTGCTTTCCTTTCTTTCTTCTTCTGCCCTCCTTCTAGAATAGCATGGAAGGCAGACCAGAGCAGCTCCTGGTACTGGCACATGTTAGACAGTGTGTGCCTTAAACACATCTCAGCCCTGCGTGGTTTAAATAACACTCATAGCTGGAAAAATAAAGCTGTGAAAAGGCTTTATCCAGCAAATTCCAGTTTCCTGATCCCACAGGCTAATGTAGATTCCTTAGTAGGCTCAGCAGTTTCAAAGATGATGTCATCTGAACAAGCAGCCCTGGCCATAATATGTCCATGATTTAACTAAGGGAAAAACAAAAATGAAAATAAAAGTTAGGTTTCACCCTTAAGGATGACATGGAGTTTTAAAATGGAAGTGAGGCTTGGCCTGACTTAGTTTTTCCAGTAACTCAAAAAGGTTAAAATTTTAAATGACTGGAGATGTTTGTGATATTTATCTCAGCATGATTTATACTAGCAAGAAATGGGAAGCTCTAGCAACATCCAAGAGTAAGGATATGGGAAATTAAATTGTTACACATTCATCTTAGAATAATAGTATGCAGTCATTAAAAATTGTTTTCGGGACACCTGGGTGGCTCAGTCGGTTGAGCGTCCGACTTCAGCTCAGGTCACGATCTCACGGTTCGTGGGTTCGAGCCCCACGTAGGGCTCTGGGCTGACAGCTAGCTCAGCGCCTGGAGCCTGTCTTCGGATTTTGTGTCTCCCTCCTCTCTAACCCTCCCCTGCTCATGCTGTCTCTCTCTCTCAAAAATAAATAAAACATTAAAAAAATTGTTTTCAAATAATTTCTGATGGCATGAGGAAAAACTAATGGTGAAAAATCTAGATGCAAAATTAAACATTTTGATTCCAATTTTTTAATAAAATTGGAATCCAGAAAAAGGACTGGATGGAAATACATCAAAATGTTAGAAGTAGTCATTATCCTGTGCTAATGTGGTCTCATGCAGCTGCTTACCTCATCCGAAGCAGAGATACAACACTTGCTCCAGCAACAGTGAGGATGAAGAGATAAAACATGTGTGAAATGCCTTATAAACAAACTGTACAGTGCGGTTTCATAATAATATGTTGTTGGGTGGTGTCCATAGTGGTGGTGGTGCTTACTTACTAGGAAACCGTTATTATATTCTTGACCATTTTATAAGACTTCTGTGATAACAGATGTTTGATTCTTCTCTCTCTTCTATTTCTTGGTATTAAGCATGAAGATAAACAAAGGAAACTGCTTTAAAAACATCATTTCTAGATTCAACACAAATCAGAGTTGAAGGACTAACCCTTTCTTTTTAGTTACTCTCCCAGTGAAATAGTGGATTGAGTAATATCAATAAACAACACATTATGTAAAGCTTTCCAATACTTAATATAAACTGAAATGTATTTAAACTCATAGCTTGGGATTTTAAAATAAGAAAATACAACTGCTTCTCCATTGAACTCAAAAGCTGTGCTTTGTATATTTCTTTCACATCTGTTTGGCTTAAAACCTTAGTAACTAATACTCAAGAGAATAAAATGACTGTTGCAGTTAGTTTAGTGCTCTTCTTAAAAATGTCCCAGTCCAGGGCACCTGGCTGGCTCAGTCAGTTGAGCGTCCAACTTTGACTCAGGTCATGATCTCAGAGTTCCTGGGTTTGAAGCCTTTGCGTTAACAGCATGGAGCCTGTTTCGGATTCTGTGTCTCCCTCTCTCTGCCCCTCCCCTGCTTGCAGTTTCTCTCTCTCTCAAAAATAAACAAACATTAAAAAAAAAGTCCCAGTCCTTATCAATGAATTGAACTCTCAAACTATGCATAGATGCCAACGTATGCACAAACACTTCTGAAAATCTCATCATGATGCAAACCATTTCTGTAGATTTTGGTTTGAGAATTTAAAAATAATGCTCATTAAAGACCCTAAATATATGTGGCATATTACTTTTTAGAATGCTTACTTAATTACTGAATATCTACTAAAAAGTCTTAGATTTGTATATTTGTTAGGATACACAGAACTCATTCCTGTACATGCTCCTCTTTCAGGCTCACTCAGCCTCTCAAGCTCTGATTTAGAGCAGGTAATGTTTTCGCAGGACTAGTAAGAAATCTAGGACCTATAAAGCTGCTTAGCCTATGTGAGCCTTAGTTTTGTCATTTGTAAAATGGAGATAAAAATAGAACCTAGCCCATAAGGTACTAGGTAGGATAAAATGGTTTCATCAGATAAAGACTTCACATAACAAGTCCTCGAAAGTTAGGTATACAGTAGTCCCCCACCTTATCCACTCTTTCGCTTTCCATGGCTTTGCTTACCTGCTGTCAACTGCAGTCCAGAAACAGATGATCCTCCTTTTGACGTGTGGTACTAATGCTGTCACAATGCCTATGTCATTCACCTCACCTCCTCTCACCACAAAGGCATTTTATCATCTCATATCATCACCAGAAGGGTGAGAATAGTACAGTAAGATATTTTGAGGGAAAGAGACCACATTCACATAATTTCATTACAGTATAATGCCATAACTGATCTATTTTATTATTTGGTATTTTTGTTCCTGATTTATAAATTAAACTTTATACCATAGGTGTGTATAACAGGAAAAAACATTGTGCATACAGAGTTCAGGCATGCACTGAAGGGCTTGGAATATATTCCCCCTCGGTAAGGGGGCAGGGAACTACTGTATTACTAAAATAATTAATGCCTTTTCCATTATTCCAAGGATAAGTCAGAACCCAGACAGAATGCTTGGATAAATACCAGGGGAGACAAAATTGGCAGCTAGGATTTTGGAAGCTTATCATTGAATAATGTTCCCTGTTGGTTTGTTTTTAGTCATTCTTTTAAATAAAAAGATTTAAAGATTTTAGTTTTTTGAAGTAATCTCTGTACCAGACATTGGGCTTGAACTCAGAACCCCAAGATCAAGAGTTGCACACTCTACTGACTGAGGCAGCCAGGTGCCCTGTTTTGAAGCCCATCTTTGAGAAGATGGTGTTTGGGTACTTTGAGGGACTTTTCATTGTCCTGAAGATTTTTTTTCCCCCTTGTCACAAATGACATTTTTTTCTTTGACATTAAAAATTTTTTTTTCTAGCCTAAGCAATAGGAGGAAAAAGATTCTGTCCACATATACCCTTGCATGAGATCAGCTCCTTGAACCTAGGCTGAGCCAGTGTGCCCAGGACCCACTGGGATGAGGCCATGCCATGGTCTTCCAGAAAACAGGGACAAGGAGATGACAGGTCTCCATTCCTCCCCACCAACCCCTTCCCCCAGCTGCTTGGAATCCCAGATATCTGTCCTTTTCCACATTGATGGCTTGGCTTGCAACTCCTGGAGTGATCACCCCTGGAAGTGGCAGCCCTTTCTGAGAACACAGGAAAAGGAGAGCAAGGTGGAGGCCGGGACACACACTCTGTGTAACGGCACAGGATGCCTGTGCAGTGGGCTTGTTGGCTCTGAACCGCGGTGATGCTCTTCTGTAGTCTTCCTGTGGCCTCTTGTTCCTTTGAATTCTTGTTTTTGCAGATAACACCACAAAGTCCCTGGAGCTCATAGCTCTGGGAAACCCTCTGATATGTCACAGTTTAACACAGCTGATCAGCCTTGTGCCTGTGGGTGACCCGTTTTAGTACATCATATCTGAGGATCCACTCAGACTCTTCAAGGTTGTTGGTTATGTACGTCATCACTTTTTTTCTCATGTTGTTCATGATAGAGCCTACCTACTTGAGGTGTGATGAGGAGGCAGAAAAGTGAGGGATGGAGGCCAGAGCCAGATGGCCACCTGGATGAGGGCGAGGAGAAAGCCAGTCGGTCCTCGGACACTGGCTCTGCACCTACTATGTGCCGGACACCATAGATGCTAGGTTACAGTGGTGACCCAGACGGACGAGGGCCCCTCTCTCCAAGAATGTTAGCTACTGATAAGTGCTCTGAGTAGGTAATGAGGGTGTGGGCAGCGGACCAGACTAGAGATGCTACTCTGTCAGCATGCTTCCTAAGGAAGTGCCCTGTGATGTGCAGAGAGCTTCAGAAGGGCCTTCCAAGCAATCCTCAGGTGGGAATGCCTTCGCATATTGAAAAGGTGGCACAAAGGCCAGTGGAATCAGACACTCAAGACATTCATTCCCTCAGCCATGTGCCAGAAACTGTTCCAAGCAAGTGGGAAGCATTAGTTGAAAAAAAGAGCCTAAAAGGCCTGCTTTCCCACAGCATACACCCTACCTGATGGAAACAGGGAATATGAAGTCACAAATATAATAAGTGAATTTTCTATTATGGGAGAGCCATGGGAAGAGAACACAAATTTTTTTGCTGTTATGGATAATGCTGCATTAGACATCCTCACACAGAAATCTTTTTCATATATCTAGGATTTTTCCTAAGGATAGATTTCAAAAAGTAGAACTATCCCCATTTTAAAGGCTTTTAACACAAAGTATCAAATTGCTTTTCAGTGAGGTTCTACCACCTGATTATATATAAAGGTGTTTATTTTAATACACCCTTACTTGTGTTATTATGAGCTCTTTCAGTGTTCAAACATTATGTCTTTAATTGGTGTTGCTTTGATAATGAAATTAAACACTATGTTTCGGCTGTTTATCATCTGTGGGAGAAAGTATCACTAAATGAACTAACAACGTAAGCAAGCTGTACAATACCTCTTCCTAGTTCTACTTCTCTTCTGTAGAAGACAAATATTTCTTTGTCAAATATATACCAAAGTATATTTAAGGATACTTTAAAAATAAGTATTAAAGTTCTGTCTGGTAGGGTTGCTATTTAGGAAGTTCTAGCTTCGATCACATTATGGACTTGAAAGTGAGGTGGTGCCTAGGTGGCTCAGCTGATTAAGCTTCCGACTCTTGGTTTCAGCTCAGGTTATGATCTCACAGTTTTCATGAGTTCAAGCCTCACATTGGGCTCTGCACTGGCAGCACAGAACTCGCTTGGGATTCCCTCTCTCTCTCTCTGCCCCTCCCCCACTTGCATTGTCTCTCTCTGTCTCAGAATAAACTTTTTTTTAAAAAGCGGAAAGCAATGAAAAAATATGAGCCCATGAGCCTCATCCCCCCCTCCCTAGTCCTGGAGTGGGAGGGCCCTCCCCCTGCCCACGCCTAGGAAGCTTGTGAGAAGGGGCAAGATTGCAGAGAGCCACCCAAGGTGGAACTCAGCACTGGGTTTTCCCCCAAAAGGTATTGCTACAGTTCTTGTCAGCTTTGTCTATTTTGTCAATGTGTGTGACCTTTGTAGCCTATCTTGCAAGCCAGCCATTGGTATTAACATTGATTCTATGGGAAAGTGCCTGTCAAGTTTCAAACCAACACTTGAACATAACCCTTTTGTGAGAACTAGAACTGTGTGTGCTGCAGGGAGCCTGGTGACATCAGCTGCCATTCTTCTAAGCACCAGACCCTCTCCTTGGTGGTCCCCCTTCCTCTGACCCACAGATCTCAGATCCGGATAAGCCTCATCCAGGCCATGGGGTGTGGAAATCAAAGTGGATTTGGGAGGGGCGTGCTCTGGACTTGGATTCTAGCTCTGCTGATGAATAACTTCAGACCTGAGATCCCAGAGTGGCTGTAAAATCTAAATTCCACATTCATGTGTGTCTGTGAAATCCACACACTCTGCATATGCCCCACAAGTGCTGGAGTTTCACAGAACGTGAGATGCTATTGCTGACTTCCACCAGTATTTCTAAGATTTGTGTGGAATTTCATAAGAATTTGTAAACATGAACATTTATGCTCCTAAGCATATTTATTTACTAGTGTATAGGTGCCTGAAAAAGTTCTAAATTTTTTTAAAAAATTAAATTTGAACATGTTTTGAAAAGTAGTTCCTTCTCTCTGCAGCTTTTCTCTGGGGAAAACGGGGACATCTGGCCCCTCGTTGTTAGGGCAGCCCCAGGACTGTGCAGGAAGACAGCTGGGAGAGTTCTTATCTCTCACTTTTGAGGAGAAACAGGATGGTGCTGCCTATGGCCATGGCGAGTGCCACCCTCTGCATGAGGGCCCAGAACCCTCCTCGTTCTCCTCATCTCTGAGCAAACCACCAGCTCAAACCCAGGTTTAAACATTCTCTGGAGATGGGGTGTGTGAGTGGCTCAATCGGTTAAGCTTTCAACTTTGGCTCAGGTCATAATCTCACAGTTCACAAGTTTGAGCGCCGGGTCAGGCTCTGTGCTGACAGCTCAGAGCCTGGAACCTGCTTCAGATCTGTGTCTCCCTGTCTCTCTGCCCCTCCCCTGCTCATACTCAGTCTCTCTCTCTCTCTCTCTCTCAAAAATAAATAAACATTAAAAATTTTTTAAACATTATCTGGAGACAGCACAAGACCTGGGGTTCACCTGCCTGCATTCCATTTCCACTGAGGCACACTTGTTGTGTGACTTGAGGCAAGTTGCTTAGCCTTTCTGATGCCCCAGTTTCCCCACTGTAAAATGTGCCCGCCTCAGAGCATTATGGGAGTCACAACACTCAGAACAACTGAACAACTGGCATGTGGAGGGCCCCTGTACTCCACGTAAATATCGAGTATTTGGTAAATGCTGGATGCTATTATCTGATTATTTTTTCACATTTCCTCAAAATGTAGGGGACATACTTAAATGCTCCACAATTTACAGAAAGATAGAAACTTCAGATGACATTAAAACTGGCCATGAAGTCAATTAAATGTTTAGTATATAGCTTGCTAATATCGCTAAGCAATTTCAATTTTATTGACATAGAACACATAAGGGTAAGAGGTGGTCTAGTTTCTTATTCTTAGAAAGATGGCAAAATTGTGTTGGACAGTTGATAATGCAGTTCGTTCTATCCCTGGAAAGAAAAACACAGGTTCTGGGCCAAAATTTGATCAGTCAGGACATTTAAGTCTTAATTTAAGTTTAATTTTTTTAGTTTATTTATTTTGAGAGAGAAAGCATGAGCTGAGGAGGGGCAGAGAGAGAGAGACAATCCTGAGCAAGCTTTGCACTGTCAGCTCAGAGCCCGACAAGGAGTTTGAAACCCAGGAACCATTAAACATGACCTGAGCCGAAACCAAGAGTCAGATGCTTAGCTGTCTGAGCCACCCAGGCACCCCATTTTAGAAACCAATAAATAGCTTAGGACCAAATAGCTGCAGGAATGGGGAGCCGGAGAAAGTTGTGCAGGGTGAAAGATCATCTCCCTGGCGGGGTTGGGACACGGCTCTGCCCTAATCACCTCAAACAGGGATTCTTCTCCACCACTCCACCCCTAGAACCTTTTGACAGTCACTGTGGAGTGTTCGCTGAAGTTGTTGCATTTCCACCTGTTGCTTGGTAATGAGGGAAAGGTATTCCAAAATACCTCTTTCTTCACGTTCCCCTTGGTTGCAAAGGAAGGAAGGAGTAGTGTTTGCCCACCTCCCTGCCTCTCCATGTGTGCATAATGACTTATCAGTGTGTCCCTTTCTCATGGAAAGGAAATCTTGGTGGGGAGGGAGGGAGGGCCTTTGAGTGGCTTCAGCTGAATGAAGTGCCAGTGGTGGAGGATTGCTGTGTTGGGGCTCAACCATCTCCCACAGAGAAAGCTGTGGAAAGCTGACTTTCCCCACCACTCTACCTCTGGCTGCCTTGCCACACCCCAGCCAAATCATGGAGCCAGTCTTTGGCCCGTATCACAGGAGTTGGTCTCCTCAGCCCCCTGAATTGGCAACTGGAGCACCAGTTAGATGATGTTTGCTAGGCCCACTGTGCACAGCTGTGCAGGTTAAACCACATGAGGGCTCTTGGGCAGAGGGGTGTGTTGGAGGGTATCTAGCTGCCTTGCCAGGCTATAAATCCTGGTGCAGGGCTGTGTCTACCTGGAGGAAGGAGCACCTTTTTCCAATTCATACATAGGGCTAGTAATGGCCCTGGCAGTATTTAGTCTGAACCCCTGCCCCCTGCCTCCTTCAACCCCATCCCCCATAGCAGCCTCTGTTGCTCTGGAATTCTTTGGAGAGCATCTTGCATGGCCATGACCTCCAGGAACCCAAGGGAGCTGTAAAATGCACAAGGGAGGATGTGCTATGTGCTGGTGGCCCTGATCACCAGTGACAAGGAGGGAGATGGCTCATTACTTCATTTACTACATTGAGTGCCCTCTGTGGGCAGGCGCAGTGCTGGGTGCTAGGGATAGGCATCTAGCCATAGAAGACATGGGCTAGCCCCCCAGGGCCCACAAACAGAGAAGAGCAGTGCCCCTGGTGAACATTGCAGGCACAGGGTGCTCGGCGTCCACAGAGGTGTGCTCAACACAATGGAGGGGCGAGGATACCTCCCAAAATGAGGTGGGCCTGAGCAAGCTCTAGCAGGATGCACAGGGCGCTGGCTGCGTACACTTCCCTGGGGTGGTGTCTGTGGTGCCCATGGAACCTGGAACAGGAACTGTGCTAAGATACATCTTCAGAAGATCCTGGAAATCTGCAAGATGTGTCACCTGTTACAAGGCCTCTCATAGGCGTGGGGGGAGTCTTGGGTTGTAGACTTTGAGTTTTGGCAGTTTGTCATTAGCAAGAGTAAAATGCTAGTCATTCTCCTTTTCTTGGGGTCTATGTTCCTAGGACTTTAAATCATTATGTTAAAAACTGGTAGCCGCAGGAAGCTTTCTGGCCTCTTGCTTTGTGACAACATGCCAAGTTTCTTTTCTTTTTCCCTCTCCCAGATACTTACTGGAGCAAGATTTCCCAGGCATGAGGATTGGTCCAGAGCCCACCACCGATTCCTTTATCGCTGTGATGTATGGGGAGACCGAAGGCAGCACCCCAGGCAACGCTTTAGTCGTGGACCCCAAAAAGCCATTTCGAAAGCTCAGTCGCTTTGGAAATGCTTTCCTGAATCGGTAAGGACCAGAAAACTGCCATCTTTCATCAACCTTTGTTTAAACCTTTTCTTTGAATTCTTGCCAATTACACACAAGGGTTCAAAAATAGAATGGAACATGTCTATTCTAGAACAGAGAAACTATAGAGAATATGTTTATTGTATTCAAATACTTGAAAGATTGTCATAGAAAATGATCGTTTATTACCCATTCTGGGTGGCTTCAGAGGACAGAGTTACAGCCCAGGATTGGACATTATAAGGCTGCACAGTATAAGGAATAAATTTCTAATAGTTTCATCTGCACAGAAATGGATCCAGTTGCCTTGAGAGGAGGTGAGCTCCCCATCGCTGACAGTGTTAAGCGGTGGCTGCATGGCCACCCCTCAGGCATGGTGTGCCTGGTGTCCTACACAGAGAACCTAACCCAGATGATCCCTGGGGTTTGCCTGACCTCCCATTCAGCCTGTTGATCATTCCAGAACAGGGCACCTTACTTGCCTGGCTGCCCCTTATGCTTCTCGCTGCCTCGCTTTGAACTGCCTCCTTACTCATTAAGGCAGGGGAAAAAGTTCATTTTGTTACTTGGTCATGACATTACAGATGTGAAGTTATGAGACACCTGACATTCTGTCTTACCTGGAAATGAGCTTTATTTGTACCTGTCCCCTTCTCCAGATCTCCCAGTGAGACGGGTGCAGAGGCAGGGCACTGGCAGCAGGTCCCCTGGATGCAGCTGTGCACTCTCCGACATGACCTGCTCTTCCCTCCTTCTCCTTCCTCCGCTTTGCCACTCTTGGGTTTTTTTTAAAACCGTTTCTGTCTTCTCTCCTGCCATACCCCCCGGCCTTCCATTCCCCTCATTTATGAATCTCCTGCCTTAGACTGGTTACTCTGGGGGAATGGGTTGTGGGAGTGCCAAGCCAGGGAGGGATCATCCCAACCCCTTTAGGAAGAACTGACAGATATGAGTCCTGAACTGTACTTCTTTTCACATGGTTTAAAGAATAGGAATGAAGCCTTCCAGCCAACTGCTGTCCTCCCAAAGGCCTTCATCACCCAGCTCTGGGAGGCACCACTCACAAGGACTAAGGGATGAATGTGTGCCTAGGCGCTGTGCGGTGGCTCTGCCAGGGCAGCCCAGGCAACCTCCACAGATGCCTCTGGGAAAAACTGGGCTCTATGGGCTTTCTGACACTCCTTTTTTTTTTTTTTTTTCTTTATGGTATATATATATTTTTTAAAATATTTTATTGTCAAATTAGTTTCCACATAACACTCGGTGCTCATCCCCACAAGTGTCCTCCTCCATGCCCATCCCCCCATCCCCCCCACATCCATCAGTCCTCAGTTTTTGTCAGCATTCAAGAGTCTCTCATGGTTTGCCTCTCTCCCTTTCCCCCACCATTTCTGCCCTTCTTCTCCCCCTTGTTCCTCCGTCAAGTTCCTCCTAATCCTCCTGTACGTGCAAACATATGATATTTGTCCTTCTCTGCCTGACTTATTTTGCTCAGCATAACACCCTCAAGGTCCATCCATGTTGCTACCCATGGCCAGATTTCATTGTTTCTCATTGCCATGTAGTATTCCATGGTATAGATAAACCACATCTACTTGATCCATTCATCTGTTGATGGACACTTAGGCTCTTTCCATGTTTTAGCAATTGTGGAGAGTGCTGCTATGAACATTGGGGTACATGTGCTCCTATGCATCAGCACTTCTGTATCCCTTGGGTAAATTCCTAGCAGTGCTATTGCTGGGTCCTAGGGGAGTTCTATTGTTAGTTTCCTGAGGAACCTCCACACTGTTTTCCAGAGGGGCTGTACCAGTTTACATTCCCACCAACAGTGTAGGAGGGTGCCCATTTCTCCACATCCTCGCCAGCATCTAGAGTTCTCTGATTTGTTCATTTTAGCCACTGTCACCGGTGTGAGGTGTTATCTCAGTGTGGTTTTGATTTGTATTTCCCTGATGAGGAGGGATGCTGAGCATCGTTCTGACACTCTTATCACAAATTAAAGGAGGCATCCAAATGGCAGCCAGGGAACATGGCAATGGGATAAATGGAAATGCACAGATGATGTAGATGAACTCACAGAGAAATTCCATGTTATTGCTGACAGTGGTTTGCAGAATAGTGTCCTGATGGTTTTTTCCACCTGCAGGATACTCTCTGGGGTGGTTTCCTCCTCATCTCCAGAGCAACCTTGGTTGGCACCAGAGGCTCTCCTGGGGGAGAAGTAGGGATTAGAACCCAGGTGGGAGAACACCAGAAGGTCTCCTGAGATAATTGAGGGGACATGGGACAAGAAGCTCCCCATCAAGGCCTCCGGGGGCATCCTGGTCAGAGCGCAGGCTACAGCCAGTCCTCCTGTGTCAAGACTGGCCCCGGAAGTTTCCAAGGTCTGGAAAGTACAGGACACAAGGTCTTTCTCCATGGAAGACTGCCTGGAATCCTATGGTTTCATTCCCACTGAATGAAAGTCTTACTCTCTTTTTGCCCGACAAAGGTTTAAAAAAGAAATAAGCTGCCACTTTTTTCAAATTACTGTTTTGTGAAGTCCATAGTCACAAAGGAAAACCTTGGAAGGATGGCTGTTGGCTTGTTTTCTTTCGGCAGATGATTTACCTTCCCAAGAAATTTATCTTTTTTCAAGTCCTAAACATACAGCCGATATCTGAGTATGGAAAAGAAGTATTTAAGGCAATTTGGGGTATGCTGGCTGGCTCAGTCAGTTAGGGTCTGACTCTTGATTTTGGCTCAGGTCATGGTCTCAAAGTTCATGAGATCAAGCCCTGCGTCAGGGTCTGTGCTGCTAGCATGGAGCCTGCTTGGGGATTCTTTCTCTTTCTCTCTCTCTCTCTCTCTTTCTCTCTCTTTCAGAATAAATAAACATTTTTTTAAAAATCAATTAGCATAGGGCGCTCAAATGTATGTATTTGTAGTGTCCCTATGGGAACACCAGCAAGGCTAGCTCTAAAGGCAGTCAAACTTCTTTCTACATAGCATGCTTTCTGGGAATGAGGTCAAAATACAGTGTTTAGTAGGAATGGGAATTGGTTGTCCGCAGGGGAGAATGCCCCCTGGCTCACCGAGCAACCACCAGTCACCCGAGGGATAGGTCTCATTAGCCTGGCCCTCTCACTACAGGGCACTGGCTTGAAGATCTGCCCCCAAGGCGTCTTTAAAAGAAGTTAGTTAGTACTTCACAAGGTGACACCACCTCGAAGCATTAAGCAAACCAGTGCAGCCAGCGTTTCAACACGTAAGGCTGGTTTCTAAGAAAGTAATAGAGGGCCTACGTGTCTTCTGAGAAAGGAAGACAAATTCCCAAAAAGGCAGCTTCAAATTATAGAAATTCCACACTCGAGCAAATAAAGGAGTTGAGTCTAGAACAAAAAGAGTTCTATGGAAACAACTTTAATGCAACATTCCGAAACCCCACCATATTACCTTACTTTTGGGAGGCATTCCACAGCCAGGCCCGTCATGGAGCTGCTCCATGGGGTGGCTCCACAGTCTGTTATCAGCAGGCAGCTCCAGCTCACACAGGAGCAGATGGACAACCCGCCCCACCGAGGGCACGAGTGCCGGGAGGCACCAGAGTATTTTGGTCAGTTCTACAAGTGTCACGTTTGGCACCTGACATTTCCCCCCCAGCAGTCTGCTTTTGAATCGGATGTTATGTTTTTCCCTTAATCCACTTTTCTAAACATGGTGGTGTGTGTTTGTTTGTTTTTAATCCAGATAGCTGCAGACCTTGTTTTTAGTTTAGGGTCTAATTTAGTTTTAGGGTTTTTTTTCTTAAATAGTTTATTGTCAGGTTGGTTTCCATATAACACCCAGTGCTCATCCCCACAAGTGCCCTCCTCCATGCCCATCACCCCCTCTTCTCCTCTCCCCCACCCCCATCAGTCCTCAGTTTGTTCTGAGCATTCAAGAGTCTCATGGTTTGCCTCCCTCCCTCTCCCCAACTATATTTTTCCCCTTCTCCTCCCCCATGGTCCTCCGTTAAGTTTCTCCTAATCCACTTATACGTGCATAGTTTTAGTTTTAAATTGTAGTCATCCACATGGGCCGCCTGGGTGGCTCAGTAGGTTAAGGTTCAAGTCATGATCCCAGATCAAGCCCCACATCAGGCTCTGTGCTGACAGCGCAGAGCCTGCTTGGCATTCTCTCTCTCTCTCTCTCTCTCTCTCTCTCTCTCTATGCCCTTCCCCTGCTCATGCGCCCGCTCGCTCGCTCTCTCTCTCTCAAAATAAATAAAATTTTTAAAAAGTTGTCATACACAAGAAATTCTTAATCTCATTTACTTCCTCATTGCCTCTGTTTCCTTTTTTTTTTTTTTTAATTTTTTTTTTAATTTTTTTTTTTAAATTTTTTTTTTTTAGGAGAGAGAGAGAGAGACAGCATGAGCAGGGGAGGGTCAGAGAGAGAGGGAGTCACAGACTGAAACAGGCTCCAGGCTCNTTTCTAGGAGAGAGAGAGAGAGACAGCATGAGCAGGGGAGGGTCAGAGAGAGAGGGAGTCACAGACTGAAACAGGCTCCAGGCTCCGAGCTGGCAGTCAGCACAGAGCCCGATGCGGGGCTCGAACCCACGAATGTGAGATCATGACCTAAGCGAAAGTCGGACGCTTAACCGACTAAGCCACCCAGGCGCCCCTGTTTCCTTTTGAAAAGTAACTTTTATCAGTGACCCTAGAGATTTTGAGCTAAAGGAATCTGAATGGTACTTTCATGCACCATCAGTTTAGCCAGGCTTGATGATGGTGATAATAAAAATAAAAACCCTACTACCTCACATTTGCAAGATGATTTAGCAATAATACAATGCACATGTGCTATTTTGGACTTATACTGTATTTATTACCTCTCTGTAATTAAATGAGACTTTAGTATTAGAGGGCTTTTTTTTTTTAATATATGAATGTTAGTACCATTGGGAATTTTTTTTAACAGATGTAATTCAAGTATACATCATCAGTCCAGACACAAGCGGGCACTATCAGCTAATTTAGCCACAGAGATTAAGGAAAATAGACTTTTGCCAAGAATGACCAGCAAATGTATTGTTGTTTTTAAATCTGAGTGATTAACTGGTTTTGTTTCTTTACTAGTTTGTCTTGTGGCATGCTTATCCATTAAAAAAAAAAACAAAACCATGAAGCTCTTCGCATTAATCTTTAACCTCAAGATCTGTGGTAGCTACCAGGTCATTAGCCACAGTTCTTCACTGGCAGCTGCCTGGACAGTCCTGGTCCTGACATTCCAGAAAACCGGTGTCACTCCCCGAACTCAGGCAGACTTTTCCAGTGCTGGTGCATGGCACCTGTCATTCCCTGCTGTGGCAGTCAGGAAAGAGAGGCTTGGTTTAGAAAAGTACATCCTTAATTTGGACCACATGAAATTGCCAATACTTTTACTTGTAAATGATGTAAGTAATTCTGTAAAAGGGGTAATTCTCTAAGATTCAATCTAAGGGATAACTGTGGGCTTTTGTAGTCTGGTGTGAAATTCTTCCTGGGCAGTGGAAGGTTAGATCAGCTGTTTGTGGTAGGACCATGTAACAATAATTTTTATATTTTATTATTTTTTTAATATTTATTTTTGAGAGAGAGAGAACACGCACGAATGAGCATGAGCATGAGGGGCAGAGAGAGAAGGAGACACAGAATCTGAAGGAGGCTCCAGGCTCTGAGCTGTCAGCATAGAGCCTGATTTGGGGCTAGAACTCACGGGCCATGAGATCATGACCTGAGCTGAAGTCATACACTTAACCGACTGTGCCACCCAGATGCCCCTAATTATTATATTTTTTTGCTATAACAATGATCATGGGTTGGTTGTCAAGAGTCTTTTTGTGTATCATGTGCTATTTACTATGACTTACTCTAATCAATGAGTGAGCTGGGGTTGAAGAAGGTGCTTTGAAACTGCGCAGTACTCTCGCCATTGCCAGCACCCATTTATTTGAACCTGACAACCTGGGAGTTCTCAGGCCAGTAGAATTGCTCAGACACCTAGAGCTCAAAGCATGAGTGAGCAAGGGTTTCTGCTCCTAGGCCCTCCAGCAGTGGGCCGAGAGCAAGTCACAAGGGAGCCTTGGGTGGGGAGTTCCAGGGCTGTGGCGCGTCACTCCCTTGTTTTGGAATGTCACCCTCTGTGATAAGGCACACAGCAGTGATTCAAATGCACGAAATGCTGGTAGCAGCCTAGGAGTCAAAAACCTGGGCCCGAGTCCAAACTCCTGGTTTAGATACCAGTTCCATCACTTACAGCCATGTGACTTGTCAAGTGATGGTGTGTGCCCCTCTGTGCCCCAGTCTCCTCCTGTGTAAATGGCAGTGCACAGCCCCTACCTCTCAGGTTATGGCAAGGATTGAGTTAATGTCTACAGAAAGTGTCTAGAGCATTGCTTGATACACAGAGAGTGGGCAGTAGATGTTTGTGCCATTTTATTATTACTGTAACTGCTAGATATCACTACAAAGCTTGAGAATCAAAAGCAGCATTAGGGTACTGCCTGGTTCTTTTTAAATATTGATCATCAAATTGGAATGTTAGCATTCAGAGGCAATTTTAAAATCTCTGACCCTCTCACTTCCTTGTTTTACTAGGTAGCAAGACCTCACAGCCCAGGCTATCCCTTCATCCAGACTCCTTCCTGCTACCCCTCAGCCTTCTTTGGGTGTGGGAGTGGCAGGGAATGGGGGTCAAGCACAGAGTTTGGGCTCACCTCCCCTCCTTTTATTAAAACAAGATGCATCAGATCAGCCCTGAATGAGGAAACACACCATAACAGCTTCTGGGCTTAACCCAGCACATGTCTGCATATTTCATGTGAAATGTAGAAAGCATGGCACAGGTACATTTATGTCTGTCACTCTGGCAAGGAGTAGGAAATCCATCTTGGGACAGCAGATCTGTGATTGGGAACATTTCAGCAAGCAAACATAGGCAAGAAAGGCCTGATGGAGAGCTGACTAGAAGACACCCAGTAAATAACCTTGTCTGTTACCTTCCTTTCTTATAGCTTAAAAGTTAGACGGTATTGCTGTAACAGCACTGCATTAGGACTTTTTCTGATTACAATGTAATTATTTAAGAAAACATGTGTGTTTCTAACGGTGTATGAGGCCTGCCTCCACATGGGAGTCTGAAAGCTGACTTCTGCTCTGTTTCCCCACCCCACCCTCACCCCACCCCTGCCCCACCCCGCCATCATCCCTGCCCCACCCCCGCCCAAAGCTTTCTTGATTTCTTTCATGGAGGCTTGCCTGGTTTTGCACACATAACCCAACCTCGCCCTCTCAGGATGCTCCTGGAGAGCTCCCTCCTCCTCTCCCCGCCCATCTTCTCCCCCCTCCCCTGCCCTCCCCCTCCTCCCTCTTCTTCTCCTCCTTCCTTTTTCTGCAGTTACCCCTGTGGGCCACTCAGCCTGCTCTTTTGTTTATTGTGTGGTAACATCACCACATCTGAAGGCATCTTGTTTTGTGGCTCACAAACAAGATGTGCCTCTGCTGTTGTGTCAGGAGACATGGGAGTTGTTGAAAGTTTGTCATTTGCAGAGAGGGAGTGGCCAGCGTATAAATTTTGAATCCTTCTGTTAACTTCACACTAGAATCTAGAGGTTTTGTGTTACGGAAAAATTGATATTGAGTGTGAGCTTGTGGTTTTGGAGAAAAGTCAGCTTCTCACAGGAATACTTTATGTAAAATAGTTTCATATATGTGCAATTTTTTGGCACTGTCAAATGCTTCAAGCCATCTAATAAAAAGGATGGAACTGTGATAAGAGACTGAATCATTACTGACAAGAAATGCGGTCTACCGCAGATGTGCTCAAAACTCTGTTCCCATCTCAATTCTAGAGCATGTAGTTGGGTTTTTTTTTTTCTTTGTGAACTTACAAAGAACAAATGCCTCGTGATCTCTGTGTACTTTATTCTTATAGATCTGCTCTCTCCCAGTTTTGGGCAGTGGGGTTTACTTAAAGGTTTGGAGGATGCACGATAGGCAGGAGAAAATCAAAAATGAGGGGCCTCTCTTAAATTACCTTGACCCTTTATTTTTAACGCAGTGAGCTTTCTAACTTTATGGGTTCAGTTGTACTCAGCTGACATCAGAAATATTAGTCTGCGGTCTCCAGCCAGCCATGCATTAAGGATATGACCTCAAGATATCCTAACTACTTTGTGCTTCAACTTTTCCAGCTGCAAAATGATCATAGTATCTTTTCCTACATTTTCCTGGGCTGACTTGAAGAGGTAGGAAAGAATGTGTAGGAAGCTTGTCCTGAGCACCTTCAAAACCAGCTGTCAGTAAATGCACCTCTTGCTTAGGACTGCCCACCCCTGGCCGTGCAGCCGTGCCCCCACCTGGCCCATAGGGCTGTGCTGGCCACATGTGTGTTATGAAGGCCAGCATGGCATCCCTGTCCTGCATTCCCAGCATATTTACTTTCTGAGCGATCCCACCAGTTCCCCTGAAAGGAAGAACTGGGCTTTCACTGAGCGTTTTCCAGCTTTCTACCCACACAGATCCAGAAGTTGGCCATTTACAATTCAGGAAAAGGAGAGGCACTCTATCTAATCTACAGTGTCTGCCTTAAAACAGACCCAGTGCCTACTAGAGATCTACCTTGATCCCTGCTGCCTGGGTGAAAAAGTATCAAAGTATTTCCCTCTGCTACTTTAGAGTTACTTAGTATTAAAGCTAAAAAGGACTTCATGAGTCCCTGTCCAGGCATCTCCATTTATGCAGAAGGACACAGGCCCAGAGCTGGGAAGCCCTTGTCCAGGGTCCCACAGCCAATTACTGGCAAAAGATGAGCTGAACCTACACCCAGTCTGCTGACCCACAGGCCCTATTTTCCTTCCACTCCCCTCTGCTTCCGTGAGGCCGAAGCCAGGGCAGCTGATAGCAGGGAGGCCAGGATGAGAAGGAAGAGATGGTGTCAGGCAAGTGAGGGCCAACGAAAGAGGCTTGAGATGCTTGGCCACGACTTTCCCCCACCCCTGCCGCTCTGTCCACTCTTAGGGTATCCCTTGGGCTCCAAAGCACCTGGAAGATTTGAGGTGTTTCCCACAGGTGCCTGCCCCGTGCTGGGCCTGAAGCCACTGGGCTGCATGCTGAGCCCCCAGGGCCACTGGTCCTTCCACTGTCAAAGTAGGGAGTGGCAGTGGCCCGACAGGGAGCTTGGGATGCTCCAGCGCAGTGGGGAGTGACCCTGGAGGAGGCATGGGATTGCCTGGGAGGAGAAGCCTAGGACAGTTGGCCAAGGAGCAGCCTGGAGAAGGGGCAGGCAAAGCTGACGGTCTTGGGTCAGGCTAACTTGGGTTTAAGGCCCAGCCCTGAGTGATGCTGAGTAAGTTACTTACCTTCTCTGATTTTAACAGAAATTTCTTCCTCAAGGGGTTACTGTCAGGAGCAAATGAGACAATGTTTGTGAAATATCTAAGTGTTCAGTAAATGTCAGTTAAAATAAAAATTAACAGTGAAGGATCTGGTGGCTGGTAGCAGCAGGTACCAAGTCGCCTTTCCACACCTGCTGAGAGTCTGGCTTCTAGTCCCTGTGGCTCCAGCGAAGGTGCTGTCAATCCCTTGCAAATTCGTTCTGTACAGGCCATGTCAGTAACTTTGAGAGGCCAAGGAGCCCTTCAGAGCTGAGAGATACGCAGTTCCTGATTCCGCCTTTGATCTCTTTCTTCCAGATTCATGTGCTCCCAGCTGCCCAATCAGGTCCTGAAGAGCATCAGCATCATCGACAGTCCTGGCATCCTGTCTGGGGAGAAGCAGCGCATCAGCCGAGGTCAGTGCCCGCCCCGTCCCAACCCTCCTCTGCCACTCCCGAGGCTCGCTATCATGTCAGCAGAGGATTTCTGTTTCTGTCGGATCTGTCCACCCATTCCTCAGGATGCATCCAGCAGCCCTGAGCAGCCCAGGGGCCCCAAGAAGCAACCAGGAGGCCTGGCATCAAAGTTCTGCATTTCAACTGAAAAACTTTCTGGAGTCTTAGCAGTAATCTCTTGATTCCTTTACACACTGCCATCTGCCACTAGTACCTACCTCATGTAAATCTTTTGAGTTTAAAGGGGACACGCATATCACTACTAACCATTCCCTTGGGAATAAAGTAGTAGGGCGTCACTGCCAGGGAGAGAAGTCCTCGCCCTGTTCTTCCTCCCTTCCGTGTCGGCACACGGCCCGTGGCCTCTGCAGCACCCCTCTGACGAGTCAGCCCTTACTGGTATCTGTGGCGCCAGACAGTATGCTGGGTGCTAAGGATGCAGCAAAAACAGGTATAGTTTCTGCCCTCAAGGAGCTAATGTTCTAATGAGGAAGACAGATGTTAATCAAGTTATCACAGGAGACAGAAAATGAGACCTGAGGGACCGCTAGGGTGGCTCAGTCAGTTAAGTATCTGACTTTGGCTCAGGTCATGATTTCATGGTTCTTAAGTTCAAGCCCCGCATCAGGCTCACTGCTGTTGGGGCAGAGCCCGCCTTGGATCCTCTGTCCCCATCTCTCTTTGTCCCTCCTCTGCTTGTGCTCTCTGTCTCTCTCAAAATAAATAAATTTTAAAAAAATGAGAACTGGGATAAGTGCTCTGAGGTGAGGGCCTTATGTCAAGGGTGGAAGGGGACCTGGCCTGGCCTTGGGGTGTTGGAAAAACACCTTGTGGAAGCAACATTTGACCCAAGGCCTGGAGGGTAAGTAGGAATTGCCTAAGGGAGGCCCTGTAGTGGAGGAGAAACTAGAAGGTGTTCAGGGGAGATCAACAGAGAATGGAAAATGCTTGTGAAGGACAGTGAAGTCAGGTTTCTTCAGCCTTCTGGAAGCCAGACTGAACCCTAACCTTGTCTAGCCCTATGCACTGTGGTTAAACAGATAGGCCTGCTCTCTCCCCCACCCTCCTGGAGAAGGGGCCATCAGGGGCGGCCCGAGGACGCAGCTTGCTCACAGTGAGGAGATGCCTGACCAGGGGGGCACTCCGTTGGATTCCCGCAGTCACAGAGGCAGGTCAGGTGCCCCTGTCCCTTGAAATAAAGGCCAGTCCTTTGAGGCTTTGCTGGGAGGGAGAAGACGGAACGGATGAATTGCTGCTTCCATTTGTCCCTGATAAGTCTTCAAAACTCCTTGAACAGCAAGTCAGTAAAACTGTGTTTAGAAATGCCAGGGTTGAGCGGTGACCTGTCTAGTGTCATGGCCCCGGCTTCTGGCCATGCAGTGGACTCCCCCAGCCCTCAGGAAGCAGAAGAACAGCTACGCAGGCTGTGGGGCCACTCCCAGGAGCTAGAAAGCAAGGTCCCAAGATGGGAAAAGAAAAGCTTCCAAGGTCTGCAAGCCCTCCTTTCTCATGGCATTTCAGGAATGCTGACTTTGCAGCCTCCACGGACCCACAGAGAGCTCGGGACCGCCTTGCTGTGCCTACACCCATTCGGTCAGGGACTCCGTGGGCAATTAGGCCACCCTGAGGCCTCCAAGCACATTGCTTATAGAAAAACCCAACATAATACTATTCTTTTCTCATAAATATCTGTTGGTTATATTTTCTGTTATAAAAGTAATGTTTGTGGTAAAGGATTCAAGCAATGAATAGGGACATAAACAATCTTTCTATCACAATTAACGATTGTTAATGGTGTTCTCCAGCTCCTTAGAGACTTTTTCCTGTGCATATACAAATGTATTATTTTTTTAACAGAAATGCGATTTCCAGGCACATTTTCTACAACTTGATTTGTTGCTGTGGTGGTCTTTCACAAACATCATTCCATGCCAGTATACCCAAATTACTTTATTCCTCTTAACAGCTGCTCAGTTTCCATCAAAGGGACATAACATTGTTTGTTTAACCAATTTGTAGATGCTGGGATGGTTAATAATTTCACGGTTTTAAATAGTGCCACAGATAGACATCATTTTTGTAACTTTATGCCTCAATGCCAATAGATTTTTTTAGGAGCCAGTTTAGGACCACTCCTTTGGACCCATAAAAGTTGCTCTGCAGATAAAATGTTTTGATTTAAAAAGAAAGGAAAGCAAACCCATGTCCCACAGCTTTTCCGAGCTGTCCATGTTTTACTGCTTCTACCAGTTGGCCAATTCTAATCACCCACATTCTCTAGGATTTCTCCTTTGCTGAGCAATTACAAGCGTCTTTCAGACTGTAGCTTCTTTATAGTAGTGTAGCGTGGGATAATGCTTTCAGGATGCTTTGAAGACCAGTTCTTTTTAACGCTTTATAGGAATCTGACTCATATCCTGGTCCAGCTCACCGTGGCAGTACTTCCTCACACCCTATGCACAGAAATAGCACATATGGTTCCAAGCAGGCAGTGTTGGGGCAGACCCTGCCACCCTGACAGAGCAGCTGGTGGGAAAGGACCAAGAGCTGCAAACAGTGACAGCATTCTGCACTCTGGCTGAGGTTCCCAAGCTTGAGTACCAGACTCTGTTTGGGACAATTGGTGGCTGGAGTCACTCAGCTGTCAGTTTCAACACATTAACTCCAAAGAGTCTATACTGTTTTAAAGCTGATACTGTTGCAGACAGTGCTGCATTCTGACTCCGACTCCTCCTGCTTCCATCCGTCCAGCTTTTCTAAATCACAGCACCACCTTCCCCCATCACATATGTCAACACTGGATGAGGTAGTAGGTACACATTGTGCCCCTCCCCCCCCAGGACATTTGAAATGTCTGTTAATGACTTTATTAGTGGGGCTTTGACTTCCTTACAGGCGTTTTGTCTATAAAAGAGGAAAGATAGCTGTGCCTTCTCCTTGTTCGTTGTCCCCTTGTCCCTTGGACCTCAAAAAGCAGGTCCCTCTTACACATCTAAAGAGTGTCTTTAGGGGTACCTGGGTGGCTCAGTCACTTTACCATCTGACTCTTGATTTCGGCTCAGGTCATGATTGAGCCCTGCATTAGGCTCTGCTCTAAGCATGGAACCGACCTGGGATTCTCTCTCTCTCCCTCTGCCCCTCTCCCCACTCACATGCCCTTTCTCTCTCTGAAATTTAAAAAAAAAAAAAAAAAAAAGAGTCTCTTTAAGGGTGTATCCATAATGGCCGTGTGAGAACAGCCACCGTGCATTGAGCCCTTGCTGCATGTCTGCACTGTGCTCATCATTTGGGATTTGCTATCTGCGTTAAAACTGCTTGTACTCATACACTGCCAGAAGCTCAGCCCTGGCCAAGTAAGCCACACATGCCCTCACTCCCCTGGGAAAGCAGAGCCTTCGAACAATCATGAGAACTCTTTCCCCAGCTGCTAGGCAGATGGGTGACTGCACTCGACATCTGGGGACTGGACAGAGTAAACACTGCTGACAGGGTGCTCCTGGAGAATAGGCTCAGAGGATGAGTACTTCAGGCAGTCATGTTGTGGGACTCAGTCCACCCTCTAGCTGCAGGGCTATGCAGCCCTGGCTAAGAGCAAGAGCATGCTGCATAGGCGGTGGGGCTGCGAGGGGAGGTGGTGAGGGACCGCTGACTGCTGAGCTCCCCAAGGAAGACGTGCTGATATACGACACCGTCAGCACAGGAAAAGGCCCATGGCAGATGGGGTGGTGGAGCATTGTGCTACCTTGCTGGGAGACGGTTGGAGAAGGAAAGACTTGAACTAACCAGCTGGCCCCACGTCATCATTGGCATCCCCCAGGAGCCCCCAGGGCATTGTCCAGAGCTCTGGGGACCAGATGGTCAGTGAGGGTGTAGCTCTAGGAAGGAATCCTGATCCGTTAGTGGTGACAGCAAAAAGGGGGACTCTGAATACAGGGTTCAGTACTATATCTCACCTCACCCACGGCTCCATTCTTCCTGGCTCATTCCTCTCGCATGACATCATAGGCCTGGTTCCCTTGTATCTGGTGCTGAGCAGAGGGGGGAGGTGTGATCATAAGGAGGACGTGGCATTCAAAGTCATGGCTCCTCTCTAGGCCAAAGTTATAGGTGATGGGAAGAAACACTTGACACTTCTACATGATAGTTCATATTTTGTGGTCTCAGGTTTGAAGCAAAACATGGCAGATCCACTCTTATGTTTGAAGTAACTTTTACCAAATAACAGGTTTTGGCGAGGATGTGGAGAAAAAGGAACCATCATGCACTATTGGTGGGAATGCAAACTGGTGTACCTACTGTGGAAACAATATGGAGATTCCTCAAAAAATTAAAAATAGAACTACCCTACAATCCAGTAATCACACTACTGGGTATTTACTTAAAAAATACAAAACTATAATCCAAAGTGATGCATGCATCCCTATGTTTATTGTAGCATTATCTGCAATAGCCGGACTATGGAAGCAGCCCACGTGTCCATCAATAGATGAATGGATAAAGAAGATGTGGTATATATGTGCAATGGAATATTATTCAGCCATAAAAAAGAATGAAATTTTGCCATTTACAACAGCATGGATAGAGCTAGAGCGTATAATGCTAAGTGAAATATGTCAGTTAGAGAAAGACAAATACCATATGATCTCATTCCTGTGGAATTTAAGGAACAAAACAAACAAGTAAAAGGAAAAAAGAGAGACAGGGAGAAACCAAGAAACAGACTCTTAATTATAGAGAACAAACTCATGGTTCCCAGATGGGAGGATGAGTGAAATAGGTGATGAGGATAGAAAAAAAGAGAGAAAGGGAGAAAGGAAGACAGAGGGAGGGATGGAAGGAGGGGGGAGGAAGGAAGGAAGGAAAGGAGGAAGAGAAGAAGGAAGGAGGGAGAGGTAGGAAGGTGTGACTTTTACTAATTTAGGATGTGCCTCAGCATATCCTTGTCCTCATCAGAATCTTAA